TGAGAATTTTTTTAGTTTTATGAGGGGAATGGGTGGTTTTAATACTCATCCTAATCCACTAGACTTCAAGTACAGGTACCAATGCATCTATATCAACAATTAAAATTTTTAATAAATTCTGTACTTCAATAATTTAGACTTCGATCATACATATTGGGAAAACATTCTGCTGTTGTTTTAACTTCAAATCAAAATACAAAAAGAATAGAGAAGCAGAATGTTTATTAAATGCATGTGACATGACTGAAGAGACAAATCATCTGTCAGTATTTGTAGGTGATGTTTTCAATGAAGCTGAAATATTTACTCCTGAAAATAAAATTGAACCAGGTACAATTACTTTGCATAGTAATAACCAGATCATTAATATTAATTTAAATGCCAACAATAAAGACACAGATCTATTAAATGCATTTGATTTAGAGGTGAGTTATATTAAAATTAGGTATGCAATGAACTGGTTTAAAACTAAGTTTTAAATTACTTTTATTATCAACTTAAAAAAATTCAAATTAATTTACATTACCTGTATGTTTCTTGATTTATAGATGAAAGATCTGTACCCAGATAATCCTTGGGAAATTGAAAATTTACAATATATAGCTGGATCAATAGCCCATAAGTATAAAAATAAATATCCAGAGCTTTCGAATCAAATTGAAACAAATGATTCAAAGGATTGGATCGATTATATTTCAAAAGGTAAATCATACATTATTAAGTATTTTATGTATGTGCTCATTAGTACAAAATACATTTAATAATATGTTAAAGTTATCTTACACGGCCATCAATGAATTTATTGAATGCGTCAAAGGTGTTAGAAAAATTATTCAATACATTTCATGGACAGTACATGAATAAAGAACCAGGTGTAATAAAAAAATTAAAAATAATGGTGCAAAACGAGATTCCGGAAAATTGTATACCAGATGAAGTTCTAGCTTGTATGATTCGAACACGGACATATATACGAATTAGAGAGCTGAATCGAGCAAACCAGCAGAAAACTGTTAAACAAAATTACACAAACACTAAAATTAAAAAATTTGTAATGTAGAATTCATGGTTATTATAATAAAATAATATAATTTGCTAATTTAAATTTGATACCTGTGTCCTGTTGTTTTTGGTTTATCATTTATTAAAATTGATAAATTATTTACTTCTTCCACCATGATATTTCATTGACTTCTCCATGTTGCCCAAGCATACGTCATCATAATATGCGCACTGTTATCTGGAGAACATGCCTGTATATTTAGCCATGTCCTATCCTATTATTGTTTAATTACTTATAATTAAAACTTCGTCATGTGTTTATTCGTTTTCTTCGTTATCCACATTATTGTCTTCATAATATAGTTTCACATCGTTTTTGTGTACCGTCACTTTCTTGCGATTCCGTGATATAACTACATTTTCCGAATCTAATACGTCCAGTACTTCGTATGGTCCCTTCCAAAATGGACTTAATTTATTTCTTTGAGTATGATCTTTAAGTAAAATCATATCATTGATTTTTTACTCTTCCGTATTTGTTTTCTTATCATAATATCGTTTATTTACTTCTTTATTCCTTATTAATCTATTCCGTGCAATTTGATGAGCTTCCTGGAACTTTTGCTTAAGATCGTATACGTAATCATCATAATTGTACCTAGGTTCCGGTTTTGCTTTCAGTTTAACTGGTATATTAATATTTTTGCCATATAATAACGCGTATGGTTGGTACCTTGTGGACGTATGTTCAGTAGAATTGTATACAAACATGGTAAAAGCTCATCCCAATTGTCTAAACTTTTACTTACGTAGTGTCTTAAATATTCTGCCAATGTCTTATGTGAACGTTCTAGAGCCCCATTGGTCATCGGATGATAACCGGAAGTCTTAATCTTATTGATTTTTAACAATTTACATACGTCTTTGAAACAATTTGACATGAATTCGGTGCCCTGATCGCTCAAAATTTCATCCGGTATCCCATGTATACAGACAAAATTTATTACGAACGCTTTTGCGACCACGTTAGCGGTGTGACAAGGTATTGCTACCCCTAGGCTGAACTTTGTTAAATCGCATTGCACCGTGAGTATATAACTGTTACCTAGCCCGGTTGTAACCAAAGGCCCTACAATGTCCAAAAATATTTTTTCAAATGCTTTCTTACTAGTTGTAGTAATCACCATCGGATATTGAGTATGTTTGTTAGTATTTTTATTCATTTGACATGCTGTACAATTCTTTATATATTCTTTTACGTCCTGCTTTAAGTTTGGCCAGTTAAATTGTTTCTTTATTTTCTTTACGGTTTTGTTGATTCCTAGGTGTCCACCCATAACGGAATTATGTAATTCTTTGAAAATTACTAATTTTTCTTCCCCACTAAATTCGAATTTGGTACAAATTATTATTTCTATATTTGTATTACGAAAAATGTATCTTATCATTGATCTGACTTTTGCCCAATCTAGTCCGCCTTGTTGTCCTAATTGGTTCATTTCTAATTTGGTTAATTTATGTTTTTCGCAAAAATATTTAAGATTTAATAAAACAACGTGTAGATTTTGGTATCTTTTCAAATTCCGCCCTATTTAAAGTTCTAGAACTGTAAGCTATTGGTAAATCCGATCCTATTTTACCTTGAGATAATATTGCACCTAGCGCCCTATCGCTAGCGTCTGTCGTAAGTATAAATTGTTTCGTAAAATCTGGATATTGTAGAATTGGTTCTGAACACAATGTTTCCTTTAATTTATCGAAAGCTTTTTGACAATTTTCGTCCCAATCAAATTTTACGTCTTTTCTTAATAATTTCACTATTGGATTAGCAATAGCACTATAATTTTCTATGAATTTTCTATAATACCCACTAAGTCCTAAAAAACTTTTTATTTGTTTAACATTTTTAGGAACCGGAAAATCCTTTACAGATTTAACTTTCGCTTGGTCCGGTTTGATTCCTTCGTCACTAATTACATGACCTAAAAATAAACATTCCCGTTGTAAAAAGCTACATTTGTCCGGTTCTATTTTTAGATTGTGTATACGTAATCTCTCGAATACGTCTATTAATTTTTCATTGTGGTCTTGTAAATTTTTAGCATACACTATTATGTCATCCAGGTATACTAAACACTTCATTCCTATTAACCCTGATAACACGTTTGTCATCATTTTTTGAAATGTCGCCGGAGCTGAACTTAGACCCATAACTAATCGTTTAAATTGATAATGGCCTTGTCCCGTTGAAAATGCCGTAAGTTCTTTTGATTCTTTAGCCAAAGGCACCTGGAAATATCCTGATTTCAAATCTATCAGACTGAACAGTTGACATTGTCCTAATTGGTCTAATATTTCCGTTATATTTGGTAATGGGTGAAATTCGTTTAAAGTTACTTCATTAAGTGCCCTAAAATCGATAACTATTCTGAATTTTTGTTTCCCCGAGGCGTCCTCCTTCTTTTTGACTAATATTAATGGTGCGTTAAACGGACTCATTGATCTTTCTATGATTTCATCTTTCATCATTTGACCTATTTGTTTTTCTATCTCCGGTTGTTGTGAAAACAGTAAACGGTATGGTTTTTTATAAATCGGTTTCAAATCCTTAGGAACTTTTATTACGTGTTCTGCTGCCGTAGTACACGTAAGATTATCCCCTTCTAAATAGAAAATGTCCGCGTAATGTTCACATATTTTTATTATCGAATTATATTCGTGAACTTGAAGGTGATCAGTACGTATTAACGCCCTGACCCGACGCGAACGTTCAGTGTCAATCGTGTTTATACACTGCACGTTTTCTGTCAAAACATCCGTGTCGTATGAAATATTACGCGCTTGTTCTACATTTATTTCCTGTGTCATTTCTGATATACCTATTTAATATGCTTATAGTAATTTTGTTGTTTTTGACTGTATTGTAAATATTCGTGCAATATACGTCCGGTATTAATTCTTGTTTATTAATTAAAGGAATTAATGCAAGGAAAAAATATTATAATTAATTTGAGAAGGAGATTGTTTATATAATTTGTGAGCAATTTTCTTTTTAAAAATTAAGTCCCTCAATACAGAGCTAAACCAACCTGGGTATTTACTTTTATATACTTTTTTTTTTGTACAATTTTTATCAATAATTTCTAAGACAATATTATAGAATCGAAAGACAGCACTGTCTATACATTGGTCTTTGAAAACTATTGGCCAATCAATGGATGCAATTTGTGATTTAATAACATTAAAATTACATACCTACAGAAAAATCATATTTAAATTAATTATATTGTAAGGGAATACATTTGTCATTAATAGGGAAGGTAATAAGTAGAGCTAGGTGATACATATAATCGATTGGTAATAACGTATCAGTCTCACACGAAACTAAAACATCGGTTGAATTTGATAAAATTAAATCAAGTATTGAATTCTTACGATTTTTTATTATATTGAATTGTTGAAGATTGAGATATGAAAAATTTGCTAATACATTTGTTTCTAAATTTGTATACTTAAGTGAGTGAGGGATAATATGGTTATTAACAACAGACCATTGTAGACCAGGAAGATTATAATCTCGTAAGCCGCAGTGGTGCTCAAGCTGTAACGTAGTATAATACGCGTGTTCACTGTGTTGTACGCGTCAAGTTCACTATAATAGAGGTATTATGATTAACATTATTGTCTATTAGCTGGTGTAGATATTATATATATCTGTCGATTATTATTATTCTAGGTTGTGTATTTCGTATATTGCTGTCAGTAGGCATAGCACGAAAACGTTAGGTAGGTAGTAATACGACCCGTTGGCTACATACATTGCATGCTGTTAGTATTGTTGTAATGCACGGATTGGTGTCGTCCTCCGAGGAACTATATTGACCTATACCGTTCGTCACACAGGTGTTGTTGTGTCAGGTGCTGATTTAGGTTGTCGTACATCTGCACTTATTGTTATATTGGATCTTTTCCTATAGTCTTCGGTAATTTGAGCGAGAATGACCGGGTCAGAGAAAGAGGCCATAGAGCGCGAGCTTCGAGTGTTACATAGGGCGAAGACCATCGCGGTGCTAAATCGCGATAGCACGTTGAACCGTATGAAGGCCATAGCTGACATGGCGTCCCGAGTGAGGGAGGCGCCCGAGTTGAAGCCCATATTGTTAACTGCAGCCGGTGACCTAGACTCCCTATGGGATACATTTCTTCAACATAATGATGCTGTTTTGAATGAGTTACTAGATTTGGACTTAGCCTCAGAATATTCTGTTACTCTGGAAGCGGAGGTTCGTACTCTATATTTTGACGCCCGTGCTATAGTGGAAGAATTTGCTAACCTACCCACAAACAGGGTCACATGGTTCCAGTCGCTCATCGGGCTCACGCCATTCCAATTTCCAATCATTCCGGTAGCCCTTCACTGCGCTCTCGGCTCCCAGAAATCCCATTGCCGTCCTTCTGTGGCGAGTTGAGTGGCTGACCGGTGTTCCGCGACCGCTTTACGGACCTAGTCGTGCTGGATGACGAGTTAACGGACAGCGACCGCTTCTATTATTTGCTCGGTTGCCTCCGTGGTGACGCGTTAAGTGCCAGTAGTTCCATCTCGGTGTCCAATGGAACATACAAACTCGCTCGGGCCACGCTAGTCGAGCAGTTTGATAAACCTAGGCAGTTGGCTTCTTTGATCATCGACAAGTTAATGTCAGTAGTATATATTTGTAGCTTTTCCAGGGAAAAAAAAAAAGTTCAAGCGGGGAATGTCCCCTTGGAGCACTCAAATTTACCGTGTAACACAATTTCACACTGATTGTCTACCAAATTTCGTCTCACGCAAAAAAATATTTAATATTTTTATTTTTTACTCTTGTTGGTTACACTGTTTTTTTTTATCTAAAATTTGATAAACAAATTTACAATAATTTTTAAAGTTGATTATTCTTTTTATTATATTCAGTTACTAATGATCTATCGTTCACTCAAGTTGTGTCTCATTTTTCTTTATTTTCTCAAAGTCTTATTAAATTGTATAAGTTATTTAATTTCTTCAAAAATGAATTTTCATAAATGCACAAACGATATCCATTCCTTGGTCGATCAAATACGATTCAATTCAACGCCAGCGTATCCAGAATTCTCTACATTTGTATTGAGGTTACGAACTTTTAAAAGTTTCCCTTCAAATACCGGACAAAATAAGTACAAACTCTCGGAATGTGGATTTTACTATATCAATCTCGACGATGCAGTTCAATGTCATTGGTGTGGAATAATTCTACATAGTTTTGAAATCGGTGATAATTGCTTTATAGAACATACTCGATTCTCACCTAGATATTTATTTGTATTGTTAATGAAAGGAAATCAGTTTGTTCAAAAAGTCTTAAGTAAATATTGTAAAACCGAAGTTATTTGTAATTGTGAAACCGGTTCGTACGATACCATTTGTTAAATCATGTTTGTTTTTTTCTAAATGTTTGTATATACATATATTTATTTATGCTGCTTACAATATTTGCTGTATTGGATAAAAAAAAAATATAACAAAATTGAATTTTTTATCTTAAATGTGTTAATATTCGATTTAATATCTCGTGGACTTACAGTCCTAGCGAATTAGTGCGTATAAGATAATTTAAAATGTTTTTCAGTTAGTAAGTATATGTAAATTCCTTCTCTTGTACGCACTCATTGGCTATCTGTATGTTCACATTTTTTGCATTTTTTCCAAAGAGTTTTTTAGTATATAATATGACTGCAAAGGGAACAAACTAACAGTTCAATGTATAACTCCTAACAGTTATATCCCACTTCTTATTTATAAAAAAGATTTTTTTTAAATTTGACAAAAATAACTTCACTATGAGTTCACCAATAATTGTCTGTAAGTCTACATTCGACATCAGGGCTTTTAACAAGAAAAGTATTACAGTTGGATTACTAATTAACAAGCAGATTTCAATTATTTTATTATTGGAATGTAAACTTACAAAGAAAATTATTACAAGTTTAGAAGAATGGTTTACACTTTTGTCTGAACCTAATTACAATTGGATTATTAATAATTTAAATACTAGGGTGAGGCGTGTAAAAATCACCGATTCCTTTTCATATTCAATCAATGTTAAACAGAGTTTAATTACCCTACATCTAAATGAGGAATACATTACCTTGTCACATGTAGATTTGTACCGGCTTCGTCAATTACAGAATTTGATAGATTTATACGTGGTAGACAAGCAAAAACGTTTAGCAAATTATTAAATTACTTTTAACACTGCATAATATGACCTAATTAAAAATGATGTCCGTGGTCTACCGTCCACCTGTCAAAGGAACGAATTTACCAACCAATATATTCAAAACTATGATTTTAATTATTATAATCACCTACAGAACGATGACACATCATTTCTATATGAAATATTACAATTCCATTTTAACACATTGTCCGATATGATTTTGCAAGATCTAATATTATAAAATATATAAATATGTTTAATTATTGTTTTTTTTTTAATAAAACTTTTTTTATTCAATAATAAACTTGCTTTTTTTTTAATTACATGCCACCTTAAATCATAAATAATAGTTTTAATAAGTTTTAGTTTTAATATTATGTTTTAAAAGTAGATTAAATTTGTTATGCCGGGTTGCATAAAAGCGATGATTAAATTAGTTTAATGGTTTGTTTTAATGAATGATTAAAATACTTTTAATGAACCGATTAATGTACTGATTAATTAACCGTGTTGCATAAAAGATGTATTAAACTACTTTTGGTTTATACCTAGTATGTTATTTTTGATAATTTTGTTATCACCAAATTAAGAAGATAATATTAATTATTAATACAAATCACGATTAAAGATATATATATATATATATATATCTTTAATCGTGGTACAAATTGAAAATATACTCATATATATAATATAATGATAATATTATGGTAATTGCCAATTGGTAAATATTAAGTCAATACGAATTACGAATTGTTATGGACTTATGGTCTTTGTCCTGTGAAGTGTGAGTGCCGATTGATGTGTTTTGTACTTTCGTAACGAAAGTTTCGTTTGTACATTTGTTGAAAGGTGTAGGTACCTATAAAACTAAAAAATGGAAGACAGCATGTGTGAAGTTAAGAAGAGACATCGGGGTAAAAATTTTATGGAACGTGAAAAAGAGTATTTGATTGATCTTATTTTGCCATATAAATCAATTATTGAAAATGTTATCAATTGTTGAAAAAGTAAGTAAATTTTTTTATTTAAATTCACTGAATAAGTTTGTTTGTTATAATAAAGTACTTATTAACATATTGTACATAAAAATATTGAAAATATAAATATTTACTACCTAGGTACCTACCTAATAACATTTTTTTTCAATTCTATTTCTGCATTAATTTAAAATAATGTTTATAGACTGATGCTGTGTGGAATAATAAAAAAAATGAGGCATGGTCAGAAATTGTTAATGCCTACAATGCAATTCAAACGTCTGGTGTTAGAAATATAGGCCAAATAAAACATATGTATGATACGCAAAAAAGGGAAGCCAGAAAAGAAAAAAGTCAGTACAAGGTCTGTATAATTTTATGAATTGTTAGAATCGTTACAGTACCTATTTATATCAGTAGTATATTATGTAGTACTTACTATTTAAAATTACTATTAATAATAATATTTGATAAATTTGTCTTTAGTTGTGAAATTATAATACAAGTTGAAAGGTAATACTATCCTGCCTATTTGTTAAACATTTGAATCTTTCTTGCTGAAATCATCATTACAACATTGCATCAATTTAAATTTGTACAGTTCATTAGTATAATCACCCAATTTAATTAGCATGATATAATGGTTTAGAGAAATTACTTAGCACACTATGTTACTATGTTAGTGTTTTCATAATTATATATTTAATTTAGGTGCAGCATTATAAAACTGGGGGTGGTACAAATCAGTCAACACTATCAAATGTTACACAAAAAGTTATAGGTCTACTCGGTGACAGGATGGATCCACTTTTAAATAATGTTGATGGTGATGCTGACTATAATGCTAGTAAGTAGAACATTTCTACATTAATAGTATAAGATAAAGTTACATGAAACATTATTTAATGAACTAATTTATTAATTTATTCAGTTCAAGATATAAGTGGTGACCAGATAATTGTAGAAGACATTTCGGGGGATGAATTTAGTCTTCTTTGCCCAGGTAGGTATATTATTAATAAAATAAATTTAATGTTTTCATTAAACAGACATCCAACATGTTACATGTACATCAGTATAGTTTATTCACCAAAAAAAGTTATAAACAATAATTACAACTAATAGATTTGGACATATTATGGTAGAAGACAGGCATGTTTCAATATTTTATTAAATTTCATTTAAATGTTAATCAATTTATTTAGTTTAATTATTTGTTTATCAATTCCATTTTTCTTCTTTATCAATTAAGAGGACATCGTACCCACATGTGTTGTCTCCGTCATACACAATTACAAGTGTACAACATAACAAATTTTTTGTTCATCAGTTTCAATAGTGTACTGTTAGTTTTATTTTAATTTTTAAGTGAGTTATGAGCAAGCCTGAATTAAAGGGGCCCCTGGGCCCACGTATATAAAGGGCCCATAGTAATACATTTTTTATTATTTTTAAAGAGTTTTTTTCATTTCTGGTAGCCCACAACCATGTATTATGTACTATAAATTGTATAACAATTAAAATATTATAAAAAAACCAACTAGAGAACACAGATTATGTTCTTACCAAAAAGTTTAAAAATAGGTCAATTCAATCTAATATCAAAATTGCTATAGAAACTTTGTAAACGAAAATTTGCTGTGTCTTACATGTGTAAGACAAAGACAACTTAAGTGGGTACGTCCTCTTAATATTTTATTAATAGCTATTCAAAATTCCTATCATCCTTTTCATAATTATTGTTTCTATTTATTTCAAACCTATATTATTGTGTAATACATGTATAATTACTGGAGTCTTACAATAGATTCATAGGCGTGCTTAGACAATTTTTATAAATAGAGAAAATTTCCAAATTCTATGAACTTGACAGTGTAATAAATTATTTCACTAACAAAAAAAATGAATCCATAGAAAAACAACATAATATTATGTTCCTTTTCCATAAAACATACAATAGCAAATTTTAATGTACTTATCCAAATAAAATTATACATATACATATCCAAATAGTAGGTAATCAAATTTTACCCATGGGCACGCCTATGATTAGTCCTTTCTTTATTTAAAATAATTCCTTCCTATCTTTTTCAATGTTGCTAACAGCTGATTTGGATCAAAACAATTCAAATCTGAGTATTTTGCACAGATCCACACCCAAAATTTCCAGTTCCATTTCCTTTAATTCTGACACTCCTCAACACGTCTGGCATGCAGAATCTTCATCAAACTCATCATTAAATAAAACCAAACCGACAAGCACTACTAGTAATAAGAAAATTTATGAAGGCCTCGCCATTTTAAATAATAAAAAAATTGGAAAAAACAGAAAAAACATCCAAATTTGAGGACGAATTGTACAAAATTAAGCTTCTTAAAGCAAAATCAGAATTGGAAACTTCTCGATTAGAACACGATCTTATGGCCAAAAAATTCAAATATGAGTCGGAAAAGATGGAGAGTGATGTTCGTCAAAACAAATTAAAAGAGGAAATGTTATTACTCGAATTAAAACACAAAAAAAAAATGTTTGGAATGGAATAACTATTCTAGCTATTATTATTATTATTATTAGCTATATAATTATAATATATATAATAATAATAATATATTATATTATTCTTCACTATGCTTTAGTACTAATTATTTCTCAATTATATACAGTTTTTAATTTTATATATTCTTACATTTTTATTAGTTCAGCTTTAAAATTATATTAAATCTTAACATTTTATTCTACATAACAAACTTTTCTTTCTTATTAACATTATTACTTACCTACCTAATTTATTAACTAATTAACTATGCTAACAAAATTGCCAATCTTTCTAACAAGGTATGTCTCACCTTACATATTAATTATTATTGAATTTAGAGCATAAAAAACATATGATTGTACTTGAATAAAAAATAAAATTCCATGTTCTAAAATGTTATTATGTTTCTAGGAAAAAACTGAATTAATTAATTGTGATCTGACTAAATTTCCAGTCTGTCTTATGGGATTTGCATTAAATTCATGTAAGAACTCTGGTCTAATTGGCTCTTCATTATGTGGCATTTCATCCCGTTGTTGTAATAACATATTATATAATACAGCGGTGGCGACAATAGTCTTCATAGATGTACTAAGCTGGGTGCGTATTCCAACAGCTAGAACAGGAAATCTTCTTTTCCATACACCAAAGACCCTTTCAATAACATTCCTTGTAGCAATATGTGCTCTCTATAAAAAAAAAAATTACATGCACATCCTATTTGTATGCTTAATTTATGCATATATTCAAATTCTCGTTTTTGGAATTTTAAATACATTTGAAAACAATATTACTTGAGATTGTATGTACCACTTAAAGATAATACAAACTTCTGTTTTTCAAATAGGAACCACTTTTTTCATTTTGAATTAGGTTTTCAGATTTTTTTGAAAGAGTAATTTTTTAGTTATATGATTACTAAGGATAATGGTAATAGATTAAGTAGAGATGGGGGCTTTAGTTGTTTATTTACTTGATAATTTTCTTCTGCTTGTGTACTCGTGTTTAAGAGTGGAGTCATTAAATAATTTCGACATGGATAACCACCATCCCCAATCAAAAAAACATTATTCCCATATTCATGATTTTCAAACTTTGCTCTGACTAAAGAATTGTCAAAAATCGTACTGTCATGAACAGATCCTGACCATCTATAATATATAATCATTAATATATACTATCTAGTCTATACTGTATAATATTTTATGCCTACCGAGAAACGATATTCATAATTTCCATATTACTATTGCATATAACCTGAACATTAAAAGAAAAATACCCTTTTCTGTTACGAAACCGTTCACCAATATCACTATTAGGAGACTGTATCCGTATATGAGTGCAGTCTATAGCACCAATAACACGTGGGAAATTTCTTGTTTTATAAAACCCTGTTTGAACAATACTTCTTTCATGTGCGGTCCGAGGCATGTTTATAAACTGAGGGTAAAGACGAGCAATATCAGTTGAAACTCTTTTAATAGTTCTACATACAGTAGATTTATTAACTCTGATATGATCACCAATAACTGCCTGAAATTAAAATTGTATAACTAATATATTTACATCTATCGCTTTAAAATGTAATTATTTAATTAGCGAAACTGACAAGCAGACCCAAGGCAAACTATACAATTTGATCCCACTCCCCACCACCAACAGTTTTTTCACTATTTTTTTTTATTATTCAAAATAATAAATGTTATTAAGTTTTTTAGGTATAAGTTGCACATCTATATTAACACTAGTGCTTGTGTGTCATGTACTTTATTAATTTGATGTGTGTAATAAACAATCATGTGCATGTACCTTAGTACCTATAGTGTTAACCCATTGATGTATATATATATATGGTATTTATACCATGTAGGTATAAAAATGTACTATTACTTATGTTTTAATGAATTATTTTCCTAAATTATATTATTGCTAGTACTTCTATACATACAGCAACCTATTAAAAATAATATGTGCCAAATCTCTAGGTACAGTTAGTTATATGGGAGGGGAGGGGTGAGGTTTATATTAATAATTACAATTATACACTGTCCATGTTGTAATGGGGGTTTAACCCCACCCACTACCCATGTGTATGGTTTTTTCTAGGCCTATGGCTAGGCTGAATCCGGCCCTGAATATAGTTTTATACTTATATAGACCAATATGTGTGTGAAACAAGTTCAAACAAAAATTAACATATGCTCATGGACGTCATCGATCTATTTTCTCTATTCAACGAGTTGTATTTTCATATGACGTGTATTTTGGTTTTTTACGACGGTTTGTAATAGGTAATCAAGTATCCCTAGAGGACGCCTAGGTATCTATGCAACTTACAAAAACCAAATTTTGTGTTCAAGAGTTCCAATTTTACGTAGATAGTAAGTAATCTTAATTAAAAGAGTGAATTTACCTATTATTTAACTTAAAGGTAAGAACATTATCTGGGGCCTGGGCTTATCATATCTATTCATTATCTCGTGAGATTTTTTTTAAAATTATTTTAACATGAAACTTGAGACATTTTAATATGTGAAATAAGAATTTTAAAATTGCTCATTCCTAGGTAGTTCATCTTGATTATTGGCGACCGTTACGATTATATATACTGTAATGGGATTACGCAATATCATGTATTTGCTCATAATAACAACCAGGAATGGGATTACGCAATATCATATATTTGCTCATAAAAACAACCAGGAATGCGACCACACCCAAAAGTGTTTTCGACTAAGAATACCACTTTCATAGTCGTGAGGTCCATATCAAGGACGACTGTACACGCGCCGCTCACTTCAAAGGACGCCGCCACCATATATATAGGGGACAGCGAGACAGCCAAAGTAGATGTACCAGAGCCGCCAAGACCGAGCGAGCCGTTTAGCCACCAGCCATTACACACGACTTACATAGAGATTATCGACTACTACAACGAGTCAACTCACGACGCTGCAATTCACCACGACTATATTAATTATTATTGGTTTTAATAAATTACAATTGATTTATATTTAAATTGACTACATTTTATTGTAAAAGTGCAACAAGCTTTTGGATCCCTGAAGGGCCGCATGTAACACTGGCGCAGTCGATAGGATTCTACAAAGGGAGGCAACCATCAAAGGCTACCGTCAACAAAGAAGAACTGTACACTATTCCGAGAAGACAACTCCAAGAAGAACCATCAAAAAACAAATAAGTCACGTCGCGGTACCAACAAATCCATCAGCATGTCATCAGCAACCAGGAACACAGCATTATTGTGAGTGAATAATTATTTAAATTTGTTACATAGACGTATGCAACATAATTAGGACATATTAGATAATTCTAAGTAGTTGACTATAAGTATAATGGTGTAAACCGTTTTAAATTTTATTGAGGGCATATTTTATTGATTAAAGTTAATTATTATTATTATTATTATTATTATTATTTTAATTATTTAAGTTTTATTGAATTTATTGAGGGCATATTCATTGATTATTGAAGTTTATTATTGAGGGCATGTTTTATTGAAGTTATTATTGATTATTATTGATTATTATTGAAGTTTATTGATTTATTGAGGGCATTTTTATT